AGCTGTTACAATGAAAAGTAATGAATCGATGGCGTTAGTAGTTTTTCCGTAAAAGGAATTGTTGTGCAAACACACTTTTGGTATATTATTGGTCATATTATTGACCCAAACATTTTTCGATGTAAAAGTTCTAGATAATAAAAACCTCATATTAAATTGAAGAAAAAAAAATTATTCCGAAGTACCAAGTTGGAGTCCATTGAGTCCATGATTTTTAAGCTTGGAGCCCAGAGTCCCAGAAAATGGATGGAAATTTGCATCCCTGATCCAGGCATTTTAAGAATTATTATAACAATTTTAATTTTATTTTTTATCAATATAATTTAGAGTATAATAATTTTATATTTATCAATCTAATCAAAAATATTTGCATTTAAATTAGCGCTTTTTTAAATTTAAATTTTTTTTTTACAACAACTGTGCCTCTTAAAAAGCATTGCAATTAAATTAAATTTTAATACTAAATTTTTAATATAAAAAGTTAATTTAAATAACAATTATATTAAATTTTTTATATTCGGAAAGTCGGAAAAAGCAAACAAACTTAGTTCATAATTTAATTTATAAAGCTATAAAGCATTTTAAAGAGTTGATGCCTTACTTAACAATTTTAGTGATGGTGCAGGTTCGCAATGCAATAATTATAAAAACATATATAACTTACGTCACCATGAACAAGATCATGAGGTCAGTGGTGGATTAAGACTTCTTGGGGCTCGGGGCTATTTTTGTTTTTGGAGGCCTTTTTATGGGCCAGAGCCTAAAAATGACTATAAAAAAAAAAAAGTCCTGTAAAATTTTGGGGGCCTGGCGCTATAGCCCCTCTAGCCCCCCTCCCTTCCTTGATCCGGCACTGCATGAGATATCTGCAGAATGGCATTTTTTTGCTACAACACTATATTTTGCTTTAAGGTAATGGGGGCTCTGTTAAAAGACTTGAAGAAAAGCAAGGTTACAATTAATAAACAGATTCTATCAATTCACCTGAGAAAATGTTTGATTGGTGCAGAAAATGAACAAATAAGAATTTTTAGAGCATTGACGAGTAACACAAGAATGAATTTTTGTAGATAGCAGAAGAGATGCTAGCTCTTTAGAGAAGTGCCCCTTATAGTGTTTGTAAAAAAGGGTAAGAGAATTTATGATAATGTGATAATGGTTGGAGGTTGGCTGCTAGAGCAGGTCCAACTATGATTACAATGCATTTTTGCACCTTGTGTAAAAGAGAAAGGGCATCATTGAAAGATTTTTCCCAGATATGGCAACAGTATTCCATAGAAAGACAGATTTGAGATTTATAGAAATAAAAAATAGAATCCGGATTAAGAAAGTGTCAAGCATGATAAAGAGATGCAACCTTAGCAGATACTAATTTTGCAACAGACTTCCAAGAAAGATTGGAAGTAAGAAGTAATCCTAGAATATGAGGGGTAGGAGACTCATTGAGTACATTACCGTTCATTAATATAGGAAGATCTAGATTATTGCGATAATGATTAGTTAAAAAGAATTGAGTTTTCTCTTGGTTAAAGTTCACCAGCCACTAAGAGCCCCATGCTGTAGCAGAAGTGAGATCCTTTTCAAGCTCAAATGCTCCCACCAAGCAATCAGAGAGTGTTGGTTTCTTATCAAGACAAGAATAAATGGTAGTATAATCAGTGAACAAAGCCACCTTAGATGTGAGAATATCTGGAAGATCATTATTTTAAATTAAAAAGAGTATAGGGCCAAGGATTGAACCTCAAGGAACCCCTGAAGTGACAGGATATAAAGAAGAGTGCTGTCCATTGAGGACAACTTTAATACGATTAGTAAGAAACGATTCAATAATCTTAAAGATGTTACCTGATACACTATAAGAAGATTGCTAATGGAGAAAACCAGCATGCCAAACTTTATCAAAAGCTTTAGAAATGTCAAGAGCAATAGTCTCAAGCTCTCCACATCTATCTAATGCATGATAAACCTATTGGTTACTACTGTTTGCAAATCAGCTGTAGAATGAGAAGATCAAAATCCATATTGATGATCAACAAGTTATTAGATTCAAGATGAGAGGTTAAGTGTTTGTTAATTAAAAAAACCAGCTTATCGTTTTTCTAAAGATAAAGAGCAAAGAAATATTTTGATAAAAAGTATTCCAAATTCTAATCTATTAGTTTCAGATGAAACTGTCATTTGCCAATTCCATTGGCCAACAGTTTTTGAAAAAGTTACTGTTCGAGGAAAACAAAGACCAAAAATGCCACCATCTGCATGGCCAGGAATACCTTCAAGTCAAATACCTACTCCATTACCACGTCATCCCACAACATAGAAATTTTTAAGCATTGTTAGAAATGTTAGAACTGATGAATTTAGCACTTTTTTATTGACTGATACTGCAACATTTATTGATTTTAAAAATGTTTTACTAAATAATCTCAGGGTTTTTTTCAGTTTCAGTAACAACATATATGATTGAAAAAATAATTAATGTTCAATCTATTACAATGGTATTCCTTTATTTATTGTTAAAATTTTTGAGAATTTAAATTTTGAAACATTTAATTGTGGAATAAAATGTTTTATAAAAAAGTTTATGTAAAAATTGTATAAATATTGTTGATTTTTGGTCAATGTTTGAAAAAATACTTCATTTTTTAAATGTCATGGAAATAGATCATAAGAAAAACATTATTCAGCAACAAATATCAGTTATGTCTGCAAAGCTTATTGGAAAAAATATATATAAATCAGATAAAATTATACGTAGTTTTGAATATTTTTTAACATCTTGTACTTTCTACAATAAATTAAGAAACAAATTTTAATTGCTATCAGTTAGTATTATGACACGCATTACATCAAAAATTTGCAAAAGTTTTGATATAATGCGTGAAGAAATGAAGAAAGACAAAAAATTTGTATAATTTTTCATGATGAAGTAAATGTCAAAAAAATGATACTTTACCATGGTGGAACATGTTTGCTAAATCTTTAGATGATCCATCATTATTAGTTAAAACTGTGTTGAGAATTAAGATAATACGCTTCAAAGGTGATCCTAAATTTCTGTATAAGATGATCCTAATTTCAAAATTAAGTTTAAATTTTCTGTTTGAACAAATAAACTCCAGCATAAAACTTATAAAATCATCATCTGGCGATGTAAAAGTTGTTATCTGTGATGGTAATCATGTAAACCATTTTTTAAATTATATTGTACAATTCCAGAAAAACCTTGAAAAACAGAAGATAGGATGTATTTACTGTTTGACTTTGTTTATCTTTTGAAAAACATTAAGAATCTATGGTTTACAGAAAAAAAACTGGGTAACTAGTGTACAGTGGTAATGGTATTCAAAGAACAGCTAAATGGGAGCACTTTAAATGCTTATACCAATTAGAATCAAAAAAGTTAGTCAAATTGTCAGACTTGAATAAAATTGCAATTTCTCCCAAGCCAATTGAAAGGCAAAATGTATCTACTAGCCTTGAAGTTTTTTTAGATAAGACATATCATGCATTGCTGACCTATTTTCAAATAATTTCAAATTCTTAGGATACTGCAATATTTATAAATAAAGTAATAATAGCTGATATAAGACAAAATGATCCATTAGAAACCCCTATTTGTAGTCCTGATGATTGATGTCTTTATACTTTACTTAGGTTGTTAATTTATTTTAAGATATTTTTAATGTTTTTTTCTAAAGGTAATCAAAATGCCTCAAAATCTGGTACAATCTTGAAAAAAAATTACTCAGTTCAAACAACATTGTTTATATTCTAAATATATTTTTACTTACTTGATTATTGAACATTCCTCAGTTATATATCCTTTAATACTTGATTAATTTTTAATAAGCAATCTAAAATCTAATCAAAAAAGTAAAATAACAGTTGAAAAGAAACTGGTATAAAAGCTAAATTTGTAAAAAAATTGTGATATCTAAAATTAAGTATAAATTTTAAAAAAAGTAGCATTTTTTTATTTATACAACATAAAACATCATACAAGAGTATTAGATAACAATATTGTAACTCAGAATAAAAAAACAGGGAATATTGAAATAGGGTGAAAAAGAATCTAAAAAAAAAGGATTATTTCAACATTTTATCAATTTAATTTTTATATTAGTTTTGATGTTGATGAGTTTTTGATTTTTTTAAAAAGAGAACATTTTATGTCATTTTCAACAATAAATATTTTCCTAATGCAAACAATTTTTATGCAGTTCATCATTTATAATTATTCTGACATCAATTGTTACTATTTAAGCTGCTATATAGTTCAATAATGAGCAAGCATGGTTAACATGAGAAATTGCATAAAATTTGTTTGTCAAGAAAATATTTATATTTGAAGATTAAGAAGTAACTTAAAGATCATGCTAAGATCAGGCTAAGATAATTTAAATATATCGAATTGCTCCAAAAAACTAATAATGGGAAAGCTTGGAAATAGTAGCGGAGCAGTTAACACAAATTTAATTTTAGTTATTTTGACAGCATGCTGAACTATTATCAATTTGTCCTATTCTGAACTATTATCAATTCAACTATTATCAACGACCCTGGTAGTACTGCGCTCAATTTGTTCCTTTGCACAGCAGCCTTGATCGTCAAGGTTAGTGTTTTAGAGTTATAGAGTTGAGAGAGGAATGTAACCACAAAATGTAGCCTCCTCTACTGTAATGGCTTTCTCGGCCTTGGGGAGATGAATAATTAAAAAATATAAATTATTGCACAAGACTATAAAAAAATTGGGGCAAAAATAAAACATGAACATTTAAATATAATGATAATAAAACACCTACTGGTTGGTAGAGTATAATTAGTTTAAACTTTAAACTTTTTAAAAATGATTTAAAGTTTAAACAAACTCAAAAAGGTTTCTTCCCTTCCTTTTTACACCAATTTATCTGCAATTAAATGATATTAGTTCAACATGCTGTCAAAATGACTAAAAATAGAATTCATATTAACTGTACCATATAAGAAATATATACATCTTATAACAAGTTATAAGAAGACAAAGATTAGTTAAATAGTTTACAGATTATTTTTAGTAGTTGTATCTTTGTTAATTGTTATTTCTCTTTGTTTAAAACGGTAAATTTTATTATGATTTTAGGCAGACTGTATGGTGAGTTCTGTATAATTTTTTTTTTTGCACAAAATTTTTCAGAGCATAGGTATAGCTGGAGACATAACTCTGCTCTTTATTCTTTTGGTCTGTGTTGTCTTTTGAATTGTTATATCTTAAACAACTAATCAATTTAACCAGTTTGTTGACTATATGTTGCACTCATTCAACTTTAAGATGCATAGATACCATACTGGTAATCAAAACTCTAGAAAAAGACATATAAAAGACACATAGTGATATTGATGGTCCAATTTTGCAAACAATTTTTTTACACAACCTTACATTTTATTTGCATTTGTCGCATCAACAACTTGATCTTTCCAACTATATTTTTTAGATAAAATTATTACTAGATCTTTTATACAGCTATTAACGAAAGTTTAAACGAGGGTGTAATTTTGATCAAGTAGATTTTGTTTTTTCTTAATAAAAAAAAAGTAAAAATGATCTCAACTTCATTTTTTATTTATTATAGAAAAAGTAATTAGGTTTACAATAAATGTGAACTTGTTATGAAATTATTTATATTAATTTAAAAAAAGTTGCTTATAAAAATACACATGTGAAAAATGAGTAGCACAAAAGTTTAAACAAATTTTTAAAAACAAACAAAAAATGCAAAATTAATATTTAAAATTTCCGCCTTTGTTTTTATAGCAAGAAAAACTCGTTTTTGCATCGATTCAACTAATTTCATTCACATCTCTTGTGGTACCTTCAACCAGAACATTTTCTCAATCATTTGAAAAAAAAATTTAATTATTTGATTGAAAAAATGTGTTTTATGTATACTAAGGTAGAAAAAAATTATTCTATTTATAATATTTATTTTGCAACTTAAACTTTGATTTATTTATATATAGAATCAATTGTAGGAGGGAAATACTCCTATTCAAACCTAGATCCGCGCCCCGCATTGCGCATAAATCTGTGATAATTGTATGCAATGTTTTTGTTGTGAACAGCGGGAGCGATTAATTCGATATCTTTATGCAGATTATTCTGGCAGGTGTTTATGGCGTGGAGAAGTAAATTTAATTTTTTTTTTTGAAAATTATGCAAGATCTGATATCTTTATTTTTCCTATATATTTATAATTTTGAAAACAACATTTTTGGTTTAATTTTTTAAAAGCTAATTCTTTTGATTAGCATCATATCATATATTAATCGCTAACTTGAAAAAGGGGGTATGTCCTGCAAAAATTCACATAACATGTCCCCTTTTTCAAGTTAACGATTCATATTATACCAAGCTTAGGTTTCCATTGTGCTATTTTTTCCGAATTGAAGGAGAATGCAATAATAAAATCTTTATATTTAAAATATTTCTAAATATTAACTATTTTTTTACATATTTTAAACCTCTAAAACTTCTTACAAAGATTTCGAAATATAAAAACAATTTTTTTTTACAAATTTAGTTTTTGATATGTACTACATATCTCAAAATCATTTTTATTTTTATGTTTAACAAAATTTTTTAATACTTATATCTAAACTGTTACATAATTAAATTAGTTCAGCTATCGCTATGGCGCTAATGCTGCTATTGTTGGGAATCACGTCTTCCAAGCTGTTAAGAAGTAATTAGCCTTTAAACTGAAATAATGACTTCAGCACGGCTGTTTCAAACCGAGCTCAACGGCTTCTTGTTATTTTTTGAAAATATTGACATAAGGGGTGTTACTAAAACTTCTATAACTTTTAAAATATTAAAGATAATTTTGTTTTGTAAAAAGAATAAAAACATCAATAAAATGTTTCATCTTACGACATTTAATGCATTAGTAAAAAAAAAGTTTAAAAAAAACGTGACAAATGATGAAGTTGGCTGAATTCAAGTAATTTGATGTTACTTTTTATCAAAAAAAAATCAGAAAAATTTATTTCTGATAGTTATTCTCAAATATACCCATTGTTTGACTATTATAGAAACAAAAAAACTTTACTTAATTGTTTAAGGATAGCTAAAACAGACTTTATTGAGGTCTGAAAGCAAACCGCACTTTTCGCAAAGTTATGAAAAATGTAGATAAAAGGGGGAGTAGCTGTTAAAAGAGTACATTTTTAAACCTAGGAGTTCTTGTTTTAGAAACTTATTTTCCTAAGCCAATAAATTCATTGCATTGCAAAATAAAGTCAGATTTCGATTTTGGAATATTTAGTCAAAACATTTAAATATTTAGTCAAAACATTTGTGCATACAGTTCTAATAATACGGTGTTAAGTTGTTAATAAATAAAGACTCAATAAAATAAAGTCTAATAAAATAATTCATGACCAAATTTGAGTTTAAGTTTTTGAATTAACCTCGCTTTTGGTAGTAGAATTATTTTATAGCACTTGAATCTATAGTCTCTTCTCTCAGTAAATAAAGTGTTTGAATATACAAATAGCTAATTGAAATCTTTTGAAAATTTGTTTTTATTCCCATTAAAAACTGTTTTATAATCAGTTGGTTCACTGATAGGTTCTTTAAGTAGTAAACTATCTTTGTACATCCAATTGATATCAAATTCATACTCATGCTAAACCAGAAAAACAATTGCTCCACTCAAAATTTTGATAACGTTTACAAATTCTTAATTTATTGAACTAAATTTTTTACAGCAACTTGATATGAGATTTAAATTCCATTCTTTAATCAGCGAGGAGGTATGTAGAGCAGAGGTACTGCCAAGGTAGAACTAACTTCTGGTGATAAACATCAAATGGATAAGTAAAATATCTATAAAAAAATGTTACATATAATGAAGGACAATACATTTTTTAAATTAAATACACAAACATACAAGATCATACCCATCCAACATACCAGTTGCTCTGATCACAAGTTAATATATAAAAGCTAGATTTTTACATACATTTGATGCAAGACTAGTATTCCATTCTTTAACCTGAGCGAAGGTATTGCATAGGTATAAATAACTTCTAAAGATAGGAACAGAATGGGCACCTACCTAATATATAAAATCAATATATTAAAAAATAATATTTTAAACTAACATTACACAGATATTAGAACAGAATAAAATTATCTTATATATAAATTAAAGATCTCATATAATTTATCTTACTTGTAAATAGTTTTTTTTGTTGTTGTTGTTTTTAATTTTTTAAATATTTTAACTAAATTTGATGACCACAAACAAGACCAAGACCTTGTCTATAAAATGAATTTTCGCCGCGCTCAGAACACACAACACACTTTCTCACCTTAGAGGCTTGAAGCTTCCTATCAGCTTTGCTGTGCAATTCAAAGCGTTTTAAAACAAGATGCAGCTTCTGCTCCTGTTTTCTTACTGAATGCAACTGTCTTAATTTCTTATTTACGCTATTATGCAAACACTCTCCCTCCTCTTCACTTAGCAACCCAATAGTTTTATGGAATTTTACAAATAATGGCACATTAAAAAAAAGTTCATGCATTTTTCGTGTAACACTTTCATTTTGAAAGCAAGCATGAAACTCAATAGAAAATAAATTTATATATTGATGAAGCTCAGTAATTTTGGCATCGATTAGAAATTTTTGTCAAAAAAGAATAGGTTGCAACTTATTAAAAACACTAAACATACGTACAAATCTATTTTTAATTGCTTCATCATCAATAACACTACAAAGTTTATAGTGGTTTCTTAATACTATTTTGCAATGATTACCTACAAATACATTACCCTGGTAAGCTTGTCGCTCAACCTTCATATCTTCAAGGGCCTTATAAAGAGGACCTCTCATGAGGCCCTATGCTATTTTTATATTCTTTTTCTAGGTCTTCACACTCCATCTGCAATCAAATATACTTAACGTCTAAAAGTTTCTGTTGTGCGCGTATAAAAGAAATTTTTTGAGAAATATAAAGGTCAAGACATTCTATATCTTCACCCTAACATGCTAAACACTCATACTTCTCAATGTCACACAATACACTCTTTTCAGAATCCCCAATAATTTCACAAAATTGATGAAACAATTTTTGGCACGCACCACACTGCACCCAATCAATGTTACAATTATATTTTGTAATTAAACACCTAATACTATCACACATTTCTTGCTGCTTACAGGTTATTTTTTTATTGGAGGAGTTAAGAGATAATTCAGAAATATTTTTATTAAAAGCTAACTAACGTGCCTGTAGATTTGCAATGTCTACAAATTGATTTCCTAATAAACGTAAAGCTTCTGCTGTTTTAGAACATTCAACGCTTTTAGCAGCCCACAATTCATTGGTTCTCACATTCTCATTATGCGACAAAGACGAAACAGCTTGACAATCTAAAGTCTTACACTCCTTCAACAATAACTTATACAGTTTGAACACAACTCCTATCATTGGAGTTGTGTTCAAACTGTATAAGTTATTCCCCATAATAACTTTAGATAATGTAGTGCCACCATTAACATTGGTGGCACTACATTATCTAAAGTTATTATGGGGAAAATCACAGGAGCAATAATTGAATTATAAAACTTACCTAAAGTTCTTAGGTTTCCACCTTGTCTATTTTCACACAAGTTGTCATTGTATCCTTAATTGGCTCTGTAGCTCTACAGCATCAGAAACACTTAACTGCTTAACTAAACCCAACTTATTTGCAACACAACAAAATATTGACTTTTCACAAGACATAGAATCACAAAACAACATATACAAGTCACTTTCTAAATCTGAACAAGCTAATAATCGAAGGAATATAAAAGCAAGTTCAGATCGTCTAGCTGCAGCATGACTACCTTACTTAGAATAAGGTTTACCATTTCCTAACTTAATGTAAGTATATTTTTTACTAACTATTGGCTTTTTAACTGATATATTCTGTGGATTACTTATTTTAAACCCACAAAATAATTTAGAGGAACCAATGTTGTCGTAGTCTAAATAAGAATCAACCACAACTAAATCCTTATCGCTACTAGCAAAACATTTGCAAATTTGGCAACTGTTCTGGCTTAAATCACTAACTTTTGAATACATAGTTATCAAAATAATATTTTTTTTTCAATATTAATTTTTTTTACCAATCTTACATTTTTGGCACGAGCAGATGCAAATTTACGCTGGAAATGACATTGTTACTGATCTTATCTGTCCTAATTAATCGCTTAACAAAAGGAAAGTTACACCTACCTTCCCAACCATTTTTCCATCCAATATGTTGTTTTAGAATTTCCCTCTCAGTTGAATACATAGTTATCAAAATAATATTGACTTATTAATCAATATAATAAAAACAAATAAAATAATATTAATTAACAAATATATGCACAAGATAAATGTGGATTTAACAACTTATCTGATATTAGTTTGATAATCCAAAGAGAAAAATATTCCGCGTAACTTTGTTTACTTTATACTTCAAAAATTGACTCGCTGAAACAGTTGTTTGGAGAATATTCGTTAATAAATAGTTTGGGACGTAACGCATAAAGGTTACGTCATCGCAAAAAACGTCAACACAAATGTACGCCTAACAAAACTAACAAGATTAGTTGTAAAACATGACATTTTTGAAAACATATTTCATAACATAGCTGAAGGCACGTAAAAAAATTTTTTTATTTTCATTTGCATAAAAGGTTGAAATTTCATTAACTTACGTCATCCATCAAATAAGTTACGTTTTGCATTTGAAAACAATCAATTAAAAAATATAAATGCTTTAAAAACAGTCTTTTTGTAAAAAAATCTCTAGGATGACGCAGGAATCTGATAGAATGGACATTTAGGGTTAAGTGTTCCAAATTTCAACTATCAAGCACAGAGCTATGTTATGAAATCTTAGTTAGATCAACTCATGTTTTCCGGAAAATATGCGAAAATTAGAAAAGTGGTTCTAAATTATTAAAAATATTTTGGCAATATTTATTTTTATACCAATTAATATAA